TTGACAATAGAGAATTCGACATTAAATGAGGTTTAAATATTATACTTCAATTTTATATTAAATAACAAGACTAAGAAAGTGAGTCCGGCGCTTTTACCAAATATAAACGTGCTGAATTTTAGCTTAGAATGATTTTTCCGCCATCCTTTGCGAGGCGAGCACACTTACTTTGCCTATACCTGTCCCAGAGATGAGATTCCTGGTTTCTCTCATTAATTTTTAGTAAAATAACACAACATTGGTTGCCTAGGTCGATTAGGCATATACATAAGGCAAATATATTGCGGAATATAACGTAATGTGCGATAAAATTCCAAAACGCCCTCGCCGTCAAAAGATCGTTTGAAATAGCCAAGAGCTCGTGAGTAATCTCTTTTTAGCAAAGATAAATAATGTTAGAGTGAAAAACTTGACCCTGATCCCAAATTACACGAGGGGGTGACGATTAATAGAAAATAAAGAACGTCGATGCAGCATCGGCTGATTCAAGATTACGAAGACATGTGCCTTTATGATTTTTCAATTTGTAAGGTACAGTAGGAGTAAACTATATTTTCCCAAGTGATGAGAAATGCAATATCAGGAACGAACATCACGGGTCCTCCACTTCGTAATTAATACCAATAATGGATCATCGGATAGTGGCAACTAAAATACTAAGCAGACAATCATGTTCAAAATGTATTTTTAAATGAAAATATATACAAAAAGTTATTAATTTTTGGCCTAATTAAGCATCAATAGATATTTTCTTCCTTTTGATAGATTTAGGCTTTTGAAGCGCCTTGGCTTTCTTTACTTTACTGGCCTCAGCTTCAAGTTCCTCCATCTCAATGTCTTCGACCTCCTCAGAAGTATCAAAAGACACATTAACTTCCTTTGGTTCCGCCGCTTTTCTTACCCGAGCTACAATTAATATTAGAATAGTTAAAAAGTACCGTTTGGTGCTTGGATCAGATACATCTGGGTGTTAATAAGTTCAAGATCTTCCTGATTCCTAAGTTCAATTCCTTTTTTAAGGCGTTTCTTAATAAAAGCCGCTTCTCTTTTAGCTCTAATCTCATTGCTTCTGTGTAATGCCTCAACTAAGTGCAATTAGAATTAGAATAGATTACTTGATTTGAGCATATGTTCGCGACTGTATTTAAACAAGGAATCTTTTCTTCTTTCAAATGCATGTACAAAATCATCGGAAAGCTCTTTGCTATGAGATTTGCGATAGACTTTGGTCCACTTAACTTTTCGTGGGTTCTTCTTCTTTTTAAAGGCCTTGTGGCATTTGCCTCTACAAAAACGGAATTCCTGAAATTACTAGCCAAAAAAGTAAAAATTACTTTACTGTCGTTTCTAACAAACATTATACCATGGCCGGGATAAATAGGACTAGAACAGAACCAACACTTATGGATCCTCATTGCGTGGAAGTCAGAGGGACCGGTCAAGGACGGCCTGGTCAAACGATAAATTATTAGACTTTGCTAGATATTAGCCCCAGACTGCTTCAGAGTAAATTAATCTATCGTATTTTTTTTATCAAATCACATTTTAAATATTTTATGCTTTGACAACTAAAGGTGCAATAAAATACCGACTAGATAAGACATAACATTTGAATAAAATATAACAAGCAACAAGGTGAAATATTGTACAATTAATTATTTTAAATTGTGTGCTATTAAAAAAACACTCTTTAAGAGGAAGTTTGTCACCCTTTGATCAATATCTGTACAAACCATTCAAATTGTATTGATCGTAGAAAGGAAAATTAAGATGGTATGGCCTTATGCCTGGTCGCAGATACTTTAGCTTCATGATGTTGGTTCGATCTACTTTTTGCAACTTTGCCGGAGAGTAAAGGAGACCTTGTGGAACTCTACTATAGCATTCTAGATTTCCAACATCGAATCATTGACTTTGAACATTTTCAAACGTTTCATCATCAGGACATAGTTACAGCTTATCAAAGTAGCAAGTAAAGGC